TATAAATAAAGGTGTTGGAGGCTTTGATTTGAATGGTGTTTGATTACATAATAAATAAAATATTTAGTCATTATATTGTGAACACGTGAAGTGTTTGTATACTAATTTGAGATCCTAGGAGGCTAGGAGGATCAAAACATGTCTCATTTAAATTTTATGGACAAATATTTGAGAATACTCAATTATTAAATGTTTGATGTGCATATGAGCATTAACACTAAATTTGATGGTTTTGAAATACACATTGAAAAATCATGAATTAAGGCAAGTACTTCTACTTAGAAACTCTTGAAGAGTTTGGTTACTGATGTACATCAAATCTGTATAAATAATGATGGAGGTTTTATATACTAAAGATTTTCTTCAGCTCAAATTATATGAAGTTGATTGAGAGGAAACAAATAAATGGTCCAGAAGACCATGTGCTAGCTATTCCTTTTTCTTAGCCAAGTTTTTTCCCAAAGGGTTTTCTTGGTCAAAGGTTTTAAGATATTTTTTGGTTTTTTTAAGAATGAGAAAGATTTGCGAGACGCTCTGCATCAGCGGACGGCGTAGCTAGGGTTTTAAACTCTGGTATGCGGAAGTTTTGGGGTCGGTGATTCCAATCGCTCGACGATTTTCAACGCAGCAAAGTCGATGAAACTATCCAGGCTCGGTCATGGAGAAGGATTGTTCACAAACATTCCAACAGGGACTGCAGGAGAAGGTCAACGAGCTGCTATGCCAATCAAAGGGAAGGTTGAAGGTCCATGATCAACAAAATTCAAGGTTTGTGGTGGTGATCTTTTGGGAGTGGACCAGATTAGGGGATTGAGTAGAAGGCTTTGCTTGAAGTGGCATCGAAAATTCCAGATTTAGGTGTGGAAGGAAGAAGATGAAGGGTTGATGACCCCGTCCCCCTCCTCAACCGCCGCCATGGAGGATGACGCTTGAAGTATGGATTCGGTTGCTCCATATGTTTATTTTATTTAATCCTGTTTTACTCTTTTTGAGTTGTTTAATTATGAACCATGTTGGTATTGTTATTTCGAACACTAAGGGGGTAGGGTTTTTGCTTGGTTTATTTCATTAGATAGGTTTTTGTTGGGAGGCAATCAGGCTGACTCAGTCGCTAATAGCCTCTTTGGTCTCACAGTTTCAGCGATTAGTCTCGCTCTATCCGGGGTGGACTATTATATGTCTGATCATGACGTGAGGGGGCCGATGAGCTTTTGATTTTGTTGGGAGAAAAGGAAATGTAGGTCTTGGGACATGCTTGTTACTTTGGTTCGTTTGATTTTAATATAAGTTATTTCCTTTCAAAAAAAAGAATGAGAAAGATTCATATCATCCAGAAGACTATTATCCTCTAGAAGAGTGATTCTAATATTAGTTCGGAAGATATTACCCTAAAGGTCTTAATTGGTCCTTGTGAGATCGAACAATTTATTGGTCCGGAATATCATTTGCAACTGTACTCTTTATCCTTAATCAAGTTTTGTATCATAGGGTTTTCTTGATCAAAAGTTTTAACGATGCTGTCTGTGACTTTGAAATAACATATTATTATACATAGAATTCAGAGTATTATTTTTCTCGAGAAGAGTAAATTCAAATGCAATCTAGAAAATTAGGCCCTGAAGGCCAGTGACTGTACTCTTTTCCTTTACTAAGTTTTTCCCACATGATTTTCTTAGTTAAAGGTTTTTAATGAGTCAGTCAATCCAACACACCGTTTTACACATATTATGTACTCTTTTCCTTGATTGGTTTTTTTCACAAAGGGGTTTTCCAACAAGGTTTTTAATGAGGCATACACATAGTACAATTTGTGTTACAAGAAGTCTATGACCAAAATAGATTAGATTCTACAAGAAGTCTTGAAGTGATGTAGTCAATAGGGGGAGTACATACACGCTGCACTCTTTTTCCCTTAACCAAGGTTTTGTCCCACTGGGTTTCCCTTGGCAAGGTTTTTAACGAGGCGGCATCACCAACGCATATAAAGAGAATAATGTATATTTTTCTTGTAATGTTTTTATTTAGCAATGTACTTCCAACGGGGTTCGGGAGTGTTATGTAATTATGGATGCCCATTAGTCCTTAGCTCAGCCTATATGTTTTGGCCCATATCATGTATGTACTCTAGCTCCCCTCCCCTTATATATACACTATATGTGAATGAATGATATGTTTTTCATCTGGTTTACAACAAAAACCTTCCAAACATTTTTTTTTGAATGAAAAAACTTTCCAAACATAAGAAAATAATGACAATTGTATCGAATAAATACGTTTTTTTAAATCTTATTCAGGGAACCCTCTCATATACAGTCGCACGGTTTTGGTACATCTCAATCAATTCTCTCTCTATATAACTTATTTAATTTTATGGTTAAAATATAATATTAGGATTTTCTTTAACTAGGTTAGGTTATAATTGGATTAATTGGTTTATATATTAACCTTCAATGGGATTGGTATCTTATTCACTGCTATATAGTATGTAATCATATAAAAAATCAATATAGGATGTAATACAGATGACAATGTATATATTTTTGGATACGGATTACGCAGTTTTTATGACTTTTGGCACTTCTCCTTATTTTAAATCCCCACGTTATATCCACATATTTTGTGATCACCTTTAACTTAGCGTAAGTAGTTGAAGAAAATATATTTGAGAAATGGGAAATTAATTATAGAGATCATGAAAAGCTGCCATGTTTGGGAGGTTTAGTTATGGCAATAGAGCGTTGGACCGGGGATTCATTTCCCACATGGAGAAATGAGGTGGGGTGGGGAAAAGTGGTGACATTGCGGGAGAAACCGCTTGGGTAAAAAATCATATAAATATTACTTTCTTCCCGATATCCCATTAAACGATGAATTAATCATTAAATATTAAAAATAAAAAATTTATAACATCACAATTATCATCAATGACTAAATAAATGTTATAAAAATAAAAATAAAAATATTATATGAATGATTAAAAGTGTGTTGATTTACCCTAAATAAATGTAATTGTACAATAACAAAACGATCTAAAATTTTGAGAATTTTTCGGAGGCAGATCATAATAAGGGCTGAATTAAATTAATTAGATCTATATATAATTTACTGAATGATATAATAATGTATACTACGGGGTACTACTTAATTAGTTAATTATCAGGTAAAATTTCTAACGGTGAGGTATTGATGTTCTTATTTTCATTTCCAATTAAATACAATTATAAAAAATGATTATTATAGATTTATAGATCTAACCTTCTTGTATTACATATTTATTCTTTTTTTTTTTTGTGTAAAAAATAATTGCTAAGTCACATGATAATTTCAAGTTAATTAGATCGCTTTGGAGACACAATCAATTTCGCTGGCAAGGACGAAATGCTATTATCAGTCAATCGAAACAATAACTTATTCATATGTTTTTTACTCAAATAAATTTACGTCAAAAAACAAATATTTACCTAAAATATATGTTTTTATTCCGATCCCTTGGGTACTTTTCCAACAGATTATTAACATGTAGCTAATGGAGGAGTAATTCATGTAGACGGTGTAGAATGTTTATATTAACTTGCCCACGGGATATTTTTGTTACTCTATTAAACATGGATTAGGTTACATTGAAAACTCATGAAAGTTCAGCTTTTTATTGAGAAAACCCTTTTAGGATTGGATTAGACGAGTTCGATACGAAGAAAAAAAAAATATTTAATCTAATTTTCTAATTTTGCATATGTTTTGCTGACCATTTTCCCCCAGGAATCTGAAAATTAACCTACATAATAATTAGAATACGAAACCCAAACTAAAAGAAAATGTCTTTTTAATTTTTTATAAACTAGGGTGGGTACGATCCGGCCTATGTTGAGGTTTTGCTAATTACGAAAATTACATGTACGATCTCCGGTTATGAAAATTAGGGACCGGGATAAGCCTCATTGTATTTGTTTCGAGTCAGATTTTTGGTAGCCCAGATTTAGTCTGGATTCAGGTAGGACCAATTAAAGCCCGAACGGGAAATCATCACCTTGTAAAATTCTTTTATATTTTAAAAGCTATATGCAAATAAAATTACTTAAAATACAAATCACAAATACCAACACAAATATTAGTCTCCGTAATCACCAACCAACAGTTCAAATTCAAATAAAATAGTTTTTCTTAATATTGCATTTAAGATACATATAAACAAATAAAAGAGGGTTTTCCAAATACATTAATTATTATTAAATAATTTTTTTGGACAAGAATGTGACTAAAGTTATTTGAATATATTAAAGGTATTATTTTTTGTTTTGGCCGGTCCGGGCCAGATTATAGATATTAGCTAGGAACCGTTAGTGAGCCTGGCTTTTCGGGCTAGGTCGGGGTATTTTTGTTCGGACTGCCTAATTAAAGAGAATAAAACTCAGACCGGTTACAAATTTCGAGCTAGTCCAGGACTGATATCCGGGTTTCAGTTCAAGAATAATCCCACCCCTAAAATAAACAAGGGATTTTTCCTTAACTAATACTAGTAATAAAGTATGGACAAAAATATTACTTAATACAAGTAACTATTAATGACTATTGACTATAATTGCGTTCAAAGTTTACATCTTAATAATTTTCATGCAATTACTACGATGTAATTTTGAACATAATGTCACAATAATTACTACGTAATATTTCTGTCAGTCATATTTTAAAGATTAATATTAATCAAAATTTGTCAATAAAACAAACGCCAACCAACATTTAACATGCAAGTTAATGAATTGTATGTGAAACAAACTGTTCATTTAGGCCCTAAATAGGTGCACATATCTACTCATCCACAAAATTAGTGGTGTAAATCGAAACTTACCATATCAAAATTGTCACATACTACACGCATGCCTTTTTGTTTTTCTTTTAGCAATAACGTCATATTATCGCCACAGCTTCTTAAGTTTCTTTCTAATAAGTATATATAAGGAACCGTTGTAGAAACCAATGGACTCATAATCATTAATTATCATCAATATAATAAACAATATGGGTTTTTACTATCTTGTACTCATTTTTGCTCTTGCCATTTTCTCCTTCTCCATCACCCCAAGTTCATTTGCCCTTGAGGATTCATGTATGACCAGTAATATTAAAGCCGCGGCCTATAATAACTACAAAGATGCCCTTAGCAAAGCTATATTGTTTTTTGAAGGGCAGCGTGGAGGGATATTGCCTTCTTCCCAGCGAGTCAAGTGGCGAGCCAACTCGTCCCTCTCCGACGGACAGCCTGATAATGTATGTTATTGGTAGTAGTTATTTATTTAATTATTTGTTTCTTTCGTAATGCTTTTTATTAACAAACTCTAAAAATTACATTAGTCTAATACTATGTATATTAGAACTGTTTATAACAAGTATTCCAGCCCAACTGATTATGAGAGTACTGTGCCTAGTCGGGGGTCTCGAGTTCGAAACCCGTTAAGCACACAAGGATTTGAAACTCAATGGAGTGAGTTTCAGTGCTAATTACTCTAGGCCCCCCAGACCCCCTCCCCAATACCCCCTTGGAGTAAAAAAAAAATAGAACTGTTTTAACAATTTAGATGCAGGTACACACTTCCTAGTACTCACCCCCTCCCCCATCACATTTTAGATAGTTTCCAAATCACCGGAATTTTACAAAGTTCAAGAGAAATACTTTCTGATATTTCAAGATTGTAGTCTTATGTTTATCTCCATAATATGAGTAATTTATTGTCATATGTCATATTAGAAATAATTTATCTAAATAGGAGTAAAACATTATAATGTGATATTTTAGAATAGGTGTACTACTACTGCCATTTGGAACCCAAAAGAAGTTTTATTGTCATATTCTGACACTACCTGACATTGAAACTCATCATTAACAATTGGTTTTTGACAATAATTACTCTTATTTACATAACAAATTAAATCTCATATTCTAAAGATCGACTTCAGATATCATTGGTATTAATTACTTCTATGTAGGGTAACAAAAATTCTATTTGTATACAATTTTTGTACACACTTGTCACACATTTGTACGTAATTATTTGTAAATGCGTGTCAAGTGTGTACACATTTTGTGTATGGCAAAAATGGTTGTTAGGGTAATTTGTGGGCGGAGTGAATCAAATTAGAAATGGTACCAGCTGTTAATTATATTGATGGTAACCTGTCTGCTTTGTTATAGACTAAAAGGGTCAAAATGTATAAAGTTGATTTTTTTTTTTAAATCACTATTTAAAATATGTTGAACCGTTTTAAAAAATTATGAAATTTAACATGCCCTTGGATTTATGGTTTGAATAGTCTTTTTCACAAATGTTATGATTGTCATTTGTCTTGAGATTAAATTACCAATATTTAAAAAAATGGTGTAGATAGCTATATACTACGTATAAAGAATCAAGAGGACCCAAATTAAAAATAAATTTCCAATATTTTCCAAATATTGCGAAGACAAAAAAAAAAGAATTTCCCATTTTTCCAACTGCGTGTGACAAAAAACTCAAATTTCCCATTTTTCCCTACATACAGATTCTGTGTGTAGGTATGTAGCTTTGACCATGCACTTATTGGATGCATCTGGAAATTAAGGGAACTTATAGTCGACGCCCAATAAGACTGTTCCTTTTGCATGCGCTATATGTTTCTTCTGGCATTCCTTTTTGCTATTAATCAAATGAACCCTAGCTACGACCTAGCTACAAGCTTCTAAGTTACATAGCTTGCTTAGGTGAAATTCCATAATTATATAAACATTCAAATAAGTTCGTTATACATCCTTTCGATGGTAGTATTTGTTTTTATGATATACAAAAGAAATTAAAATAGTGAGTATCATTTTGGGTAGTTATATCATCCATGAAGATAAGTGCATAGTTTTGATTACCAAGTTCAGCCCATTCTACAAGTTCTATTATTTCATCTATTTGAGCGAAAAAACCGATTATTAAGGGCCTGTTTACTAACGGACATATTTTCTAGATGATCCCAGAACCAGGTGAAAAAATATGATGAACATGTTTTCAGATTTGAAAATGGAAAACTAAAAAATGAAAACAGAAAATTGGAGATAGAAAAATGGGAAAATGAAAACAGAAAATTGGAGAACTGAAAACAGAAGTAGAAAACTGGAAAATATCTCTGTCATTAAACATGTCCTAACTTTTGGAATCAGCTCAAAACTTTTGTCACGTACACTTTCTCTATGATCACACATTATAAATGTTTGGTACTACGAATCAGTCATAATATTATGTTGCTTGTATAATTCGTCCGATATATACAAGAGGAGATTTTTGTACAATTTTGCAAGGAGAGTATTTAAATTTGTATGATAGGAGAATAATCATGGGAAACTTCCTTAAATAGGAGTAAAAAAAATTGAACCATAAAAATAGGACTGTCATATTTTTTATTCCCTAAATAGGAACTTTTTTTTTGCCAAAATTGGCATTATCAGGCTCACAACATGACAACTTCTGTCAAACAGATTTCAAATTAAATTTAGCAGAAATTATTCATATTTAAGGAATAAAAACATGAAGATCCCATTTTGGAATTTCAAAACGTTTTTACTCCTATTTAGGATAATTTCTAAATAATCATCATTTGTCATTAAAAAATGTCAATCAATTAAATCAGGCAAATTATTTAAGGAAACAAATTAAATTCAAATCACGTAATATATTTTATTTGACATGCATGATATTTGCTTGATCGATGCACATGCATGGTCACGAAATCAAACAATTCTATTATAAAATACTAATCAAGTAAATGAGACATTATGGTAAGATATACAGAAATTGCCCTAATTTGGAGTAAAAACACTTTGAAATTCCAAAATAGAAGTATCATGTTTTTATTCCCTGAATAGAAGTAATCTGCCAAGTTTAGAAAAAATGCTATGTTTTAAAACCTAGTAATGCCAAATTTGGCAAAAAATTACTCTTATTCAAGGAATAAAAAACATGATAGTCCTATTTTGAAATTTCAAAACTTTTTTACTCCGTAACATTTTATATGCTCAGTATATGGCATGTGTTTTGATACTATGTATACTTTAGTCACTTTGGAAATTTAGAAGTAGCTAGTGATGCACGGCACCAGGCACCTCATCATGAGAAACTGGGGAGGCGAATAAAAGATTCTATTTTTCCGTTCACCAATCCAGACGGTATTCCTTTAGTTTGGTAAAATTTTTCTCACTTTGACTTGCCACGGAGATTAAGAAAGTGGAAATGTGTGGTTGTAGTTGTGTAAGAAAAAAGTGAAATGAATGTGAATCATACAAATTGTCCAAAAATGGTAAGTGAGAAGAATTTTTTGAAACGGTCCAAAAATGAAAGTGAGAAGAATTTTATGGGACGGAGGGAGTATAATTTTTTAAGCCTGGTATAATTAATACGAATGAACTACAAATATGGGACAGAGGGAGTATATTCCATCCGGGCGAATGTAAGTACGAATGAACTACAAATATCCCAAAATAAATGTCTCTCCTCCTCTTACGGAGTATTTCACTTTATTACACTCATATCTCGATCACAATTGTTATTTTTTCGATCACTTTATTATTAATTGTGTCAAGTCAAAGTGAGACAAAAAAAAATAGAACTATTTTAATTTATGAGTGATTAAAATAATTAACAGGTGGATTTGAGTGGAGGCTACTACGACGCCGGGGACAATGTGAAGTTTACATGGCCGATGTCATTTACGGTGACTTTGTTGAGTTGGGCGGCGATCGAGTACCAAAACGGTATTACTTCCGCCGGAGAGATTAACCACCTCAGGGAAGCAATTCGATGGGGGGCCAATTTCCTAGTCAAAGCACACTCTTCATCCAAGGGGGCAACCACCCTTTATTCTCAGGTATACACAGCAGCTCTTGAACGAGCTACCTGTACACAACCAACTAAGGGTGTGTACAACAAATGTGTATAAATAATGTGTACAAATGAAATTTTTCGGTATACATATGATGTTTTTATTTGGATCGTTTTCGGTCCAAGATAAGACAATATTATACCAGACATAAATAAACCAGACCAAACTAATTAAACAAATTAGACCAAATTTCTATAGTTATAAAACACACATATATAGATCAGATATTTATTAGACCAATTCAGAGTAGACTAGATCAGACTTAAACAGACCAGATCGAAAAATTTCAATCCAAGTAAAAAACATCTTTATAACCGTAATGAGGGTCCAAATTAGACCGTCACAACAAATATTTTTTTTGTAAAAATTTAAATAAACATTTATTCTACCTTAACCCCTTCCACCCGCGACAATGGGTATATTATGATATATAGGCTATGTTTGGCAGGATAAGTCTCTACCTTCTAACTTTTGTACTGTTCAAAAAGTCTCTAAAAACTTCTAGATTAAATATGTTTGGTATGACAATTTTTAAGAGTTTTTCAAAAATTAAAAGATATTTTTTGAGATGCTACATGGAGTAGCATCTGAAAAAAGCATGTGACATTTAATATTAATTGGTCCTAAGAGCTTGTATACCAAACTGAACTAAATCAAACAGTTAGTTTTTTACCAAACAACTATCGTCTTTTCTCTTTAAGATCTTTTGAGTTACTAAAAGCTAACGGTTATTAAAAAACTCACAAAAGTATCTTTTCAACTAGTTGTGCCAAACATACTCATATACTCCGTACTATACTCTCCTTCAAATATTTTTGGGATGTCCAAAACATAATCTAAATTATATAATCCGTATAATGTATCTTCTTCAGTTTCCAAACAAATAGCTACAGAACTTCCCTTTCTTAATTTACGTAAGACTAGTAAATGTGAGGTTCATCATCAGGAATTAGGTCTCACATAGGTTTATTTTTTGGGGAGACCACTTTTAAAGATTCAAAGTATAGTATGTGCATTAAATAACCCCTTATAATGGAAAAGGGCACCAAATTATCTCTATTCTGAAACAATAAGTTAATTAACAGGTAGAATGAATTTATCAACATATCTAAATAATTAAAAATAGAGCCTTGACACACCGATTATGATGTTACATTATTGTGATATGATCCAGAATCACAAATTCATGTCTTAAAAGTAGTCTCTTTTTCAAAATGAAAAGGAAAAAGAAATTGCCCAAAATAGGAGCAAATGAGATTTGTACGAAGTATATAGTAATATAGGTAATTACCAATAAACATCTACATTTTATACCAATCCATCAACCCAATGTCTTCCATGGATAAAATGTGTAATTCTTATTATTAATTTTATGAAATTGTAATGTGAAAATGAGATGTACTTTTATTTTATTGCATCCTTGATCATGTATCTATAATTGATGAATGAATTACATACTATGATGATAAGGTCGGTTATGCAATCGCTGATCATGCTTGTTGGGAGCGTCCGGAGGATATGGACACTCCACGGACACTGTACAAGATTAGTTCCTCTTCGCCGGGATCGGAGTTGGCCGGCGAGGCAGCGGCCGCCCTTGCCGCCGCATCCATTGTTTTCAAGACGGTTGATCCCAAGTACTCGCGTACACTATTACGCCGCTCTACATCGGTAAGATTGAGCTTACACTACTAGCTAGATACCTCATCACATGCAATTATGCCCGTAGCTAGCGAGAAGAATTGATGTCTTTTTTAACAAATACGGAGTAATAAATTAAAACTTTATGATGTATATTCAGATGATTAATTCTTGATGAACACGTAATGTGTACACAATTTGTACATATATGTTTGTGTACACAGACATTTTGACATAAAATTATGTCATTTTTCGAACAATTTGATCGTGTACACAGTCAACTAGAAAGTTGACGGTGTACAATATGAATTTTCATATTGAAATATCCTTGCGTTTCAAACTAACTTTCCTATACTATTATTTTGATGGTGATGATGGATTCCTTCTGGTTGACTTTTCTCAGCTATTCAAGTTTGCTGACCAGAAACAAGCAACTTTCTCTTTGTCTTGCCCTTTCTATTGCTCTTTCAACGGTTTTCAGGTAATAATAATACTACGCATTTCTTTTCAAAAAATAATACCGAGTACTACGTATTTAACAAATAATAATAATAGTACCTCCGTGCCACTAATATTGGGACAGAATGGAGTGACACGCTTATTAAGAAAAGTTAGTTTGTGTGGTTGATATTAATTCATAAAGTAAGAATAAAGTGAAAATGATTTGGCTTTACACAAACTTTATCAAATTGGGTATGTGACAATTTTAGTGGGATTTCACGAAAAAGTAAAATGAGATAATATTAGAGGGACGGAGGAAGTATCATGCAATAATAAGGATGTGTTCTTTTGGACTGAAATTTGCTAGTCTAGTCTGATCTGATATAACTACAAAAGTCTGATCTGATCTGGGACTGAAAATAGTCCAAAAGAGAACATCCTAATAGTAAGAGTGATATTTTGGTCAGTCCGACTGACCAAAATTGGTGTGTGGCCAAGCCTGTATAAAGGTCTTTCAGGTCGAATGCTTTGATGAAATTTTGTGAGAATATTCTTCATGAGGTGTAGAAAATTTCCACAAAGTTCTTCAAAAGATTCATATCGGAAAACAAATTAAATAAATTATTGAAAAACATTGTGGAAAATTTACATAAAAAACGTTGTGTTTGTCTTCAATTTAATTAACTAACGTCTCGATTCCATTTTTTATGAAATTTTGTGTAAACATTTTGCACTTCATGAAAAACATGTTAAAAAAAATCATTGAAAAATTCGATCCGAAAGACCTTCAAACGGGCTTGACCGCACAGAACATTACTCATAATTAATACTCCTTACTACGTACGTAATAATATTGATAATGATAATATTTATAATAATACGTAATATATTGGATACAAGAAATACTATAATTGCGTACGTTTTATGATGATTTGACTTGTTCACTATTATTATTAACGAATTCATAGGAAGTTACTTATAAAAATATATGACGTGTCTTTTTTTGTATGAAAGGATGAATTACTATGGGCAGCTGCATGGGTATATAAGGCGAGTGGAGATAAGAATTACCTGAAATATGTGAGCAATAATCAGGGATGGAGCAAATCTGTTTCAGAGTTTAGTTGGGACAACAAGTTTGCTGGAGCTCAGACGTTATTAGCTAATGTATAAATCGATCACACTTAATTAATTGCTGATTAATTTGTTTTAATAATTTAATTTACTATTTAACTATCGTATAAAAATGTATTTCTTTGATGCTATGTATGTGTATATATCATCAGGAGTACTTCGCTGGAAACAAAAACTTGGAAAAGTATAAAAACGACGCCGAGTCATTCATTTGTGCATTGATGCCTGGAAGTGGTTCTGTGCAGTTTAAAACAACCCCGGGTAGTTATAATTATCATAATAATTTTTATTTTTCTGTTTATGATCTACTCTTAGTAATTAACTAATTATCATAATTATTAAGAATTTTTGTTAATGTTGAATTGTACCAAGTACATGTTTTTATAATTTGCCTAGACACAGGGGTGGAGACAGGGAGGGGCTGGAGGGGGCCTTGGACCCTGCAAGGAAAAAAAATCTTAAGTATATATTATATATAAATACTTTGAATCTAGAGAAAATATGTTGATATTTTAAACTTTGGTCCCTACAATATAAAATTCTCAAAGCTCGACCCCCTTAATCATAAATTTCTGGCTCTACCACTTCGAAAACATTTAGAGGTGAAATTTTCTGGTCCAGCGGCTCCAGCCTATGGCCCCAAATTCCTAAAAATAAGCACTCACAGCACTGTCAGCCCACGTACATTTCGGGCCAAGAATTAAACTGCGGAGCTCTATTATAACCATTATTATAAGTGTTTCTAATCAAATCCATTTTCATACATATTAAGAATTGAAATTTCATTTTAAGAGGCTAATCGTTGTAATAGGCTTGCCTAATTTGGCAAAAAATACTAAAACAGTGTACAATATTATCTTAAGTACCACTCTAATTTCATGTCAAATAAAGCAAAAGTCAAGCAATTGTAGACTAAAACAATTTGTTTATTAAAATTTTGATCCTTTCTTATGAGTATATCAAATTGAATTGGGTACATTCTTTGTATAAGTTTAAATGTGACATTTATTTGATAGATGATGAAACATGGGTTAATATTTCGTCACTAAATAAATATAGATGTCACATTTGAGTATGCATATCCAACAAATGTAACCCTAGACTTGCTCTACCATTACTTCCTTTTATTAAAAGTTCAAACCTAACATTCAAAGAAAGTAGGAATTCGTTTTTTGATGGGAGTAGTAATTTAAAAATGTCTGGATGTCTTATAAATATTATTAATAATAATAATAATACCTTAAAAGTAGAACTGGGTGCGGAGTATATATTATATTACTAAAAAAAGCTTCTATATATATTATAAAAACTATGGATTGCAAAAAATAACATAGACATATATTGCGTTATAATGGCGTTAGCTATATACGATCTTTGGCTACTATTCCTATGAAGTTAACCTTTTAGGATGAAATTGAGTATTAACATGATGTGAGAGTCGGTCTATGATTGTGGTTTATTGCCCATGATTAAGGGTAACTCATTATAGGATGAAATTGAGTATTAACATGATGTGAGAGTCGGTCTATGATTGTGGTTTATTGCCCATGATTAAGGGTAACTCATTAAGGATATATTTGATTTATATATATATACTCTGATATTGTCTAATCTGATTTGAGCTAAGGGACGCATTGAGGTATGTGTTCCACACTACAACAATATAAAATAATAAAACGTTATATAAGATCTTTGAATACTCCTGCATGCAAAATGACTATGCAAATGACACTCTACAATTTCGATACCTCCCAAACATTATACCTTAGCTTAGCTTGTTCATAAAAATCAATTAGAACATTATAATTATGTAACTTAAACATAAATAATTAATGGCAAGATATAACATAGATGAATCATATGCATCGTAAATGTATATTGTACCACTCTCCATTTTGTAAATGTTGCTCTACGATATTTTGCTGATTTTTCAGGTGGTCTTCTTTTCATAAGAGATAGCAGCAATTTGCAGTATGCAACCGGTGCGACGATGGTACTATTCATGTACTCGGGGATCCTTGATCGATCCGGAGGAGGAGGAGAAGGAGGAGTTAAATGTGCTTCTGCCACTTATACTTCCTCACAAATCAAAGCATTCGCAAAGTCACAGGTATTATAAACTCACCAATTAAGTCTAGCTACAGCGTAAAGTAATTCTATATATTACCTGAAAATAAGTAATCATAAATCTGATTCTCCCTCGGTAACAATTACCGTAGTATATATTCCTACGTGAGAAGTTGGTGAAGTTATGAATAGTGAAAGGGGACGTAAACATTTGATAATTTTGCCTTCAAATAATGTAAGATTGTTTTAGAGGAAATGATAAATTCCAAACATAGTTGTAATAGTGTATCATTTTCGAAAATATCAAGGATATAATGAAAAGATTATTTAGTTACGATTTAAAAAAAATGTGAAAATGTTTCGGAGATAATTTACAAAGCAAAAACGTTACAAAAAAGCCACAAGTTTAAAGACCAAATGACATGGGATATGGGATCAAATCCCTCGTCCCAAATAGTACCGGTACTTATGTTTTACGTACGTCTTATGGAGTGATTGCAAATGTTTTGTTTTAAAAAATCACTTTTAAAGTAATTTTGAAAAAAGTAATTAATAGTAAAAGTTGATAGTGATTGAGTAAAAATTTGATTTTGAAAAGTAAAAGTTGATAGTGTTGGGTAAAATATGTGTTTTTTGTGTAATAGAAACGTAAAAAGCAGATTCTAGCTTTTAACTTTTTAATAATTAATTTAAGTACAAGTTGTCATTTGAAAACACTTTTTTCAACTTTTTTTAATGCCCCTACTTCTGATTCGGTTGAGTATTATTAAGTCATAAATGAATTTTAAGACTCAGGTGTTGTAGAACTTCCTATGCAGAAATGTTATTGCTTTAAACAATTGAAGTATAATGGATTATTATTTAAAACCATGTCTAAAACAATATCACTTTAATATCAAGTATAGCCTAGATATATAATTTTGTCTCTAGTATTACATTGAAATTAAGTGTCTTCACTATCATTGCAATATAACGAACTACTCCATATTTTAACTATTTCTGAAACCATTTTCTTTAAATTATTTTTCAATTTTAATATATCATACTATGCATTTGAAACTTGAAACCAAACTAAAGTCATATATATTGAAAAAGACTACATTTTTTACGTATAGTTTAGAGTAGTGTTTTTCAATAATTTATTTAAATAGCGTTCCAATTTGATTTTAATTTAAAATTTTGTGGACATAATTTAAAATTTTGAAACCTTAAAATGTGTGCAGGTAGACTACATACTAGGAAACAACCCGAAGAAAATGTCGTACATGGTTGGTTTCGGGGATTCCTATCCAAAGAATCTCCACCACAGAGGTTCGTCCATCCCCTCCATCGTATCTGTCCACCCAGACAAGATCGGCTGCCAGGACGGCTATAACTGGTTAAACTCCGCACAGCCGAACCCGAACGTCCACACCGGAGCAATCGTCGGCGGACCCGACTCTTCCGACAACTTCTTAGACTCCCGGTCGGAATATGCGCACTCCGAACCCACCACATACATGAATGCTGCCTTTGTTGGATCCGTTGCTGCTTTGCAATCAACCTAGCTAGCTAGTGCTAAAGAAAATACTTCAGTTGAATTGATTTCTGATATATTTGAACTTATCATAGCATACCCGTAGTGTAGTTAATTAGGATGATGAATACGTAGTATATATACTTGGTATTTATTTATGTTGTCATGGGTTGTAATAAATTAAACGATACCAGTAATAATATTGAAGCATGCATAATTTGCATATAATTATTAAAGTGAATAACGGTTGATTTCTGTGCGTCTGCTCTAAATATTTCCAATTTGGACATGGGTTCATTTATTCTTGGTATGTTTTTACTTGATTAAAATTTGTTGGTTTGGTCGGATCTGATTTGGTCTGGCAAGGGCGGCTTTGAGGGCAGTTGGGCCAGGCAACTGCCTTGGGCCTCAACTACCAAGAGGGTCTCCAAAAAATTCTACTCCGGTATTAGTATTAGATGTTATTCACAGACCGTCAATACACCGAGCGGCAACTGTAAGCAGAAATCAGCTTTATAGTTCACTTTTGACTATCCGTCCTTCATCAAAGTTGTAGCTAATGAATTTTTCTATCCAACACAACTTGCAAAACCGGATTTGAATCATCCAATAAAAATATATGAATAAAATGGTGGAAGGTCGCATTCTGAAATCTCAACAGAGATTGTCTGACTTCATCGTCTATTTTCACCCTGCTTCTCTCAGATTCTCACAATGGTGTCTTCATATGATTTGTAGCCTTTGAAGTTGGCTTTCATATGAAACTTCAATCATGTTTTTTGGATGTTCCATAGAAAAGATATGCTTGAACGATTGACAGAACGTCATCCCGACTGTTGTTTTCAAGCTCTATTCGTCTTCTTTTGATCCCGTAGCCAATTCTAGAGCTCTTTTGTCTTCAAAACTTTGTCTTTAACACCTCACTGATCTCCAATGCTCCTAATCAACTCTAAAATGCTTCTCAACTCGTTCCTATTGCTTCTCAAACACCGGTGGTGTCAGGCTCAAATTCCCTGATTTTGACTCCAAAACTCGAACCAACGGCCGGTAAATATGACTTGAGCTTAAAATTGAGACTTATGACACCTTAAATTCAGGAAAAAACTATCAAAAGCCGATCTCAACACGCATCAACGTCCAACACAGACCGCTAATCGGCTACTGTATATATGCATCACTGCCCGCCGTCGACATGGGTCCTTGGTTAGTGAATCAACTAAGACTCTTCAGCTCTTCTCTCTGAGTCTCGTTCTTGAAGTCTCTTAATACTTTTACAAGTACAAGTTTGCCTTGTGTTTTGAATAAGTTTGCATTTTAAAATTTATCCTTTTGAATATTACAAACATTATATCGTGGACTTTGAATATGTTTTTTTTCATAAGGCGATTTTTATTCAATTTATCTGATTTTAAAAATGATTTGTACATAGTAAATATTTTTCGTCTGGGGCCTCCAAAATGCTCAAGCCGCCTCTGTGGTCTGGTATGAACTAGTCAGGTCTGGTAAACATCCGGTATCTGTGTATCTTATAATTATACAAGTCTGGTTAGGTTTGATATGGTATGATCTGGTCATGACCTTTCGATTATCATTCATCATTTGAGGAGAAATAATGTTGCCTCCTTAGAGGTGTTACAAACCAAACAAGGGCGGATCCAAGAATCTGAGATACCCTGGGTTGAAAAGCAATTGTGAATTATGATATAAACATTAGTGGAGTGAACTGAATATGACAAATGAAAAAAATTACACTAAAAAATTAAAAAAAAAAAAAATTACACTGGGTTTCAACCCACCATAGCCTATATAAATAGATCCTACCCTGAAATCAAAGCATTTCCGGGGACTAGCCTCCTTTTTTCTTCGATCGGAATACGAATGAGATAAAAAGGCCATCATGAATGCAAACAAGACAATAGTTTCACTTCTTTACTTGTAGGGGATAGAACTGATATATTGCATATTTCTACTTATAGAAATAGCAGTTCCACTTGTAAGGCAGAGGTCTTTGATGTTCCCTCCCATCAAGAATTGGGTTCTCGCAACTCCTAGCTTTTTTCATACCTTATTTCCTTCATTATTCTCATTTTTGGTGTCTTAGGCACCACACCGATCCATCCAGAACTTGATGGTGAAACTCTATTGCGGCGACGAAAATGTTAAAAAGTGTATAAGATCAAGTGTTTGTTAAGATCCTTTTTGATGTGGGACAAATACTTTAAAGTATCTCTTTCTAAATTCTAATTGTCATTGCATATGCTTTAAGCCTTTAACGGGTTGAGGGAAATGATCTGCTTCACATGCCAGAGATTTTCATTTCTTTGTTGATGTTCATGAATCTAGGGTCGTGTTTAATTAGTTCAAATCTAGGGTTGACCCTCATAATTATATGTCATAGTCATTCCTGATTGAGAAAAGACGAAGCAAAAGATATACGTGTAAAACTTAATGCTCATTTTGAAGCAGAAGTTTTTTTTTATTGTAGGAACGCATGACTGGCCTAGTATTGTTAATACGACAGTACTAGTTTTATTAAAACGGTAATATTTAAACATCACTTCTATTTTTCATTTTACAACATTAAAAGCAATACCATATTCAGAAGAAAATAACGGGAACTTTGGATGATCAGGCGATGGACTAGAGTTCATCATGGGGTGGGGCAAGTTTTGGGTCCCCAGAGGATTTCTTGATGGGGTAGGAAGCCTCCATGGCTATGCCACACAGTCCCTCCTCGGCATCGATCCCGCGTTGCATCCGAACATAGCCCTCTTCTCCCCAACCACTTCCCCATGAATTCTTTACTATCCAATATTTTGTTCCGTCCTGCGTTATTCCGTAACCAACAACTCCTACCCCGTGGTCTAGCTCCGTGCCACATTGTCCTGTGAACACTCCCTGCAGTATAAAATGTACTTGTGTACCGCTATAGTGACTCAAATGATCGAGAACAACCATTTAAAGACTTCAAATATCGTAGCTTTTGGTTTCTATAACTTTTTATTTATTCTTATGCTAATTTTCAATGATTTTTTCTTCAGTGTTTTTGACAAATTAAATATAAAAATATTTAAAATATAAAATAAAAGATCATAATATTTCAAGTCGTATACTCGTATATCGATAGTTTTCAATCATTCCACGTCCTATATTGATATTTCATCTTTCAAATTATTGATTAATACCAAACCTATCTTCCAGGGCAGTGAAAAATATTCAGTTAACTTTTTATTTTCCCACTTCTTACTTTTCGGGAACTCAAACCATTATTTCTTTGTTTTTTGGAAGTTGCAATTGTAAAATAACAACTATATCTTTTATTTTCTTAAAACTTGTCAATTCCAAATACATCATACTTTCGGGGCGGAGTATTATTTACTTTAAATTATTTGTAAAATCCTCGACAATTAAATACGTTGCGAATACAAAACATCAGAACTTTAATCAAAGCATTCTCATCATTCTCTGGTACGTTTTCGTGGCCATCAATGGTCACAATCGGAGCATTTATCTCAAGCAATTTCAAGCAATTTAGAGCCATGTAATTTCAAGCAATTTTCAAGCAATTCTCAAGCAATTTCAAGCAATTTTCATCAGTCACAATTTCAGATTATTTCAAGCAACTTAGAGCCATGTAATTCAAACAGATACAAAACATTGATTTGAAAATTGTTAGAAATGGTATGAACTTTAACCATACCTCAGAGTAGAATTGCAAATCAGAACCACTGGCATCTATTGCAACAGATACTGGCTGATTGGCAACAGCTTTCATCAAAGCATTCTCGTCATTCTCCGGTACGTTTTCGTGGCCATCAATGGTCACAATCGGAGCATTTATCTCCAAAACAAAAACCGACAAGATAATAAAGTTAAGAAAAATAATACTAATAGCTGGTTGCTTAGAAACGAGAGTATTAAATGCTTACCTTTGATGAATCACACTTCTCATCCTTGGCCCTGTAAGGGTATAGTATTTCAGTTGTTATTCCTCCTTTCCTCTTGATAAAATCAAACGCTTTCTCCATAAGTCCTCCATTGCAACCTTCATTGTCCTTTTCACAGTCAACAAGCTCCTGTTCAGACAAAGAAACCAGCTTCCCAGTCTTGATCTTGTTAATTCCTTCAACTCCTAATACAGTTGAAAACGCCCAACAGCTACCTAGAAAAAAATTATTATTAGGAGATAGTTATCATATGTCGGATATATAAATCAAGTTTCATTTTTAGACTAAGGGAGCTAGGAAATTGGCCCAGTCACCCCAAAAAAGATTCTCAAAAAGGTGAAGCCTTACAATTGTTAAAATACCCTCACCGCCCAAAAAGAAGTTTCCACTTTCTTTATTTGGATGTCCCCAAATGAGGCTCTACTTTCCATTCAAAAATCTTTTAATAGGAAATATCCCAAGTGCTCTTGTTTCTTGTTTACTTTTTTCTTGATTTGACAAAAAGTAAGGATTGCTTCGAAATTCACAACAAAACTTTATCTTGCATAATAAGGCGTAAATATGTTTTTAGTCCTTCAATATTTAGCAGATTTTTAGACACTGCAAAATAATTGTTTTTGCTTTCTATCCTTGAAATATACTACGTGCTTCATATATACATACATACATACATATATATATGTATATATATACTACTTTGTTTTTGTCCCTTTCTAACTCCAAGACAATCTCAACTTAGAAAAACTAATATAGATTACATAACTCTATTCTTAACTTTTAACTTCAGTTTTTATAAATTTTTGGAGACTAAAAATAAAATAAAATTAAGTTACACTAATCATTCATGTTTTTAAAATAGGTCTGAGTGGATATCTGAAAATAATTTTTAAGTATTTTTAGAATGACTAGACAAAGAAAGACAGAGAATCTATTAGTCTGATCTATTTCATTGTCAAAAAGTGTTGTCAAGGATTCTGAGGAACAAAAAAGAAAAAAAAAACATACGTTTCAGAGATGAAAAACAAAACAAGAGCAAAAGGTGCTATATTTGCAGGGACCACAAACATATTTATGCATTAAACCCTTGCATAAATATGTTTAGGTCAAACCAGAAATTTATTTGCGGGGCAGGGGTAGTTTTAAATATAAATCTGGTAAACATCCTACGTGGGACACTTAACACACTACAGGTGAGGCCTTACCCTTCCTTGGATATTGAGCATAAATTTGCTAAACATCCCACATGGGACACTTAACATATAAACTAGTACATAACTTGAGTGTGTATAAA